TTTCCTTCTTCTTACCAGTGAAAAACAGCAGAAGCAGAAGCGACTTCAAGGGGAACAGATGCATCCTGGACGGTTCAAGTCTTCCCAGCACAAATGAAACTAAACTGCTTTTAAAGAAACATTCACCCTTTTTTCACCAAGAAGAACCAGGTGCTAGTTCGTTGCTGGTGCTGGTGCCAGTGTGGAGTTGGTTCAAATCTCACACCTCCTAAGACCCTGTTCGCTTTTCACTGGCAAGGAGCCAAGTTAGAGCCACACCATACGTCACTGCACACGTAGTCGTTTACGGAAGTCAGTGTTGAAGTCTACACAGGGCTCATCCACTCACTGCCTACTCCCTACTAGGGCACTATGTAGTCAACTATGTTGTAATAATAATAATAATAATAATAATAATAATAATGTATTTGTATTGCACTTTATATTTTCGCATTCTCAAAGTGCTACAAGGTAAGACAAAAGTTAAGATTATTAAAACAGTTTACAAAAACAGTCAAGATAAAATAGGTTTTCAAAAAAAATAAAAAGGAGAATGTATTAAAGGAGTTCTGCAAAATGCTTTTTGAAAAACATAGGTTTTAAGATGTCTTTTAAAATTATCTGTAGACTGGGGAGCCCAGAGAGGACGTTCCACAGCCTCGGGGCAGCAGAGGAAAAGGCCTGATCACCCATGGTGCGGAGCTTGGTTCTGGGGACTTGGAGAGTGTTTGAGTTTGCAGAACTGGGGGTATGTGGGCGGCCTGGGGGGAGAGGAGTTCCTGGAGGTAAATGGGGGCATGTCCATAAATGCACTGGAGGGTGAGGCGGGAGACCTTAAACTCAACTCTGAGTGAGATGGGAAGCCAGTAAAGAGATTTCAGGACAGGCGGTGATGTGCTTGTGCTTGCACACCCTCTTCAGGATCCTGGCAGCGCTGTTCTGGATGTACTGTATTCTCTGCATGCTCCTGCCAGAGATCCCGATGAGGAGTGCAGTGCAGTAGTCCAGCCTGGAGGAGACAAAGGCGTGGACAAGCTTCTCTGCATCTGCCAAGGTGAGTGTAGGATGAAGTTTGGCGATGTTCCTGAGGTGATAGAGTGATGTTTTACAGAGGTGCTTGATGTGGGACAGTTGAGGGTCCATTTTAACACCCAGGTTGGTGACAGATGTGGAGAGGGGGATGATTTGGAGCGGAGCTGACGTGGTGTGCCAACTCGAGTGGTTTCTGTTTTAGAACTGTTTTAGCTGTAGAAAGTTAAGTTTCATCCACGCCTCTATCTCCTCTAGGCAGGTGGTCACTGTGGGTGTTGGCAGGGGAGCAGAAGAAGTGGAGGATGTCCTGAGGTAGAGCCGAGTGTCATCAGCATAACAATGGAATGATATCCTATGTTTGCTGATGACACTGCCCAGGGGGAGCAGATAGATAGAGAAGAGGGTGGGGCCCAGGACTTAGCCCTGAGGGACACCGCAGGTGACGCTGTGGGTGTGGGATTTTGCTTTGCCCAGGATGACATGCTCCATTTTGCCAGTCAGGTATGAAGTGAACCAATTATGTACAATGTCTGACAGTCCAATGGTGTATTGCAGCCGGTGGAGGAGGATGTTTGTAGGGAGCACCTCGGCAAAGTAACGCGGTTTGTGCCGTTGCAGTGTAGTACAAACACATCAAATTCACATTTTATTGCGTGGCTAAGAAACGGGCAAAATAACTCCACTCATATTTTTTCACAAGTGTTAAAATAGCATTTATTTTTTAATTTCATTTCATTTTATTATTTTATTAAAATTATTTACCTTATGGATCAACAAAGTTTATCAAAGTCTAAGTCTAAAACTAACAAGACAGGAACACAAATTTTGCCAGGGTTTGCCAGTGAGCATGGACACATATTAATTAACTGGGATGAATATTGACTCTTTGTTCTTATGGCTTTCTTATTTGAGATGAACGTATGGTTTGGCGTCTGTTTATTTTTTCTTGTGTATGTGAAATTTTCCAAGCATCAGATTAGTTGTACAAAAAAACCCAACTATGTCATCGTCCAGGCTTTCTTCAAAATAAATGAGAATGCTGTAGATCAGTCCACAATACTTTTGAAAATGCACATTGATAGAACAGATGTTGAATAGTTTCCTCTTCATTCCCACAGAATTTACATAACAAATCAATATCATTATTAAACCTTGCCAGTATTTACTTACGTTTTAATGACAAGTTTCTTCGCTCTCGTTCGTCTTTCCATTTCCTTTCACGCAATGCATGATGGTCCATATTGCTTGGTAAGTGTACACTACTTTTCACTGTGCATTGTGGTATATTTTGAGTGTACTATGTAGGTTGCAACAATTGTCACGTAGTGACCAACTTTCTCATTTCAAGTCAAGAATCTTTATTGCCATGATGCAATTAGTTTTCACTAATTGCATCATGATGACGGTGATTCCGGCTTAAAAGTCAACATTAAAAGACGTGGACAGCAAAACATACATGGCATTAAACAAAACAAAGCTTCCCACCTTGTCACAGGCAAAACATATGACTTGCTGAACGTTTTCTTATTGATAACTAGCACTGGAACCAGCTTGGTGGAAAAGGTTTACACACACCCAGTTGTAGACAGAGAACACAGCAGATCTGAATGAAATATACATATTTTCCTTTTTTTAAAATAAACAACCACTTACAAAAAACAAAGGTGAAAGGGATATGGGAATAGGAACTTTTGGGAACTTGGAATTTGGGAAAGTATGGGAAGAACAGAGTAACTAAACAGGGAAACTCAGCAAGAGGAATGAACAAACCAGAATAAGAGGTTTAGGGAGAGCATTGATGACCTCTAGGGGCTGAGCTGTGAAACAGCTACTCAGGGAACTAAGACTGGAGAAATAACCTGAACTTGACCTACAGGAACCAAGGTGGACAAACCATAGAAACTCATTTCAGGGATTGTTGAGAACAAGTTGTAATCAACCACACTACAGATTTAACAACAGGAACTTACAAGGAGACTGATCAGAACCATATGAAGAGTTCATTTGCAAAAACAGAAAACTCCATCTTCACAAACTTTCAGAAAACCCACTTTTCCATCTCTACCTGTGACAATATGAATCAAGCTTAAGTTATCTTTATTTTTGTCATGTCATTTCTATTGAGTCAAATCCACTCAACTTCAGTATGATTGATATTATCTCAAGCAAACAACAAAAAAATACATTTTCTAAAAATGTACAAAAATGGAGTTATCTGTTTCTGCAAATGAACTCTTCGTATATCTGTGTTAGCTAATGAGACATGAAATGAGACCTTTTTGCAACAAAGATTAAAAAAAGAAAACCTTTAGGCACTGGAACCAGTCTGCATAGATATATTACCATACCTTGTTGTGAGTGATTACAATTGACTACAGCTGGTGACTCCTGTGAGTCAGTATAAATTGGCCCGCTTGCGGTGATTATTTTTCACGTTGTGCTCATTTTGCACCATATAGTGGAGGTTGTGTGTCTCTTTGTGTGCATTTTGGTCTGTTAGTGGTCATAAAATAATACTTGTAATGGATCTATATATTATTGGTTTATTAATAGTGATGCAACAGTATGTCAGCAGCATGTTTCTGTTGTAACTGCTGGAGGTTTGCACGGCTTTTTTGTAAAATGTCAAAAAAAAAAAGTGGTCTGGTTTAATCTTTAACTCTGTTATATTTTAATAGCTTGTTATCTTATCCATCTTCTCCACTACACATCAAAAAAAAACTTAAATGTAGTGGAGAAGAAAGTATAACATTTCCATCTGAATTGTAGTGGAGTGGAACCAAGTAATGAAGTAAAAGGAAGTACTGTATTTAGGTAAATGTACTGGTTGCACAGGTTTTATCACAAATCCATACTTAGATCTCATGATGAAATCCAAGTGAACTTCCTGTGCTGATGCAGACCGGTGTGTGTCTGGAGTCAGGATGTGGTTAGCTTAGCTTAGCACAAAGACTGGAAACAGGTGAGAATAACTAGCCTCGCTCTGTACAACTGTTTTTTTTTTAAATACAACAGTAAACATTTCTACAGATCCCTAATAAACACAAATCTCATTTTACAAAAATGTCCGAATGTCAGCTTGTTCCTGAGAATCAGCGTACATTTAAACTTCAGACTTCATCCTGTGCACCGTTTGTTGCTGAGAGAGGAGTAGTTTTGGTCCTGGTCCATGCAGGCAAGATTCAGGTTCTAGTAGGCTGAGTTGTTGGCAGGTAACTGAAAATAATACAAAATATAATAAAAAAAAAATCTTGTATGGTGGGAATCAATTATTTATTGTACTCTGTATGTCTTGAAAGCTCTACAAGCCAGTCAGAATATTATCCAGTTTCTATGTAGAAACTGAGCAATTAACAGGAGTCATACTATTCTGGTAGATTAATCGTAGCAACTGGACTTGCTTGAGTTCCTTGAAGACGTTTCACCTCTCATCAAAGAGGCTTCATCAGTTCTGACTGACTAGTTGGGAGTTCCAGATACTTATATCCTAAAGGAGCCGTTATAGGTTTGTTGCCCCTCGTTATGTGAGTCGTTAGTGCTCCCCCTGCCACAAAGGGGGTTGCTTGGGTCTTTTGTGGCTAGGTGTGGATGTGGTTTCATCTTCCTGGGGAGACATCTTAGGACTGAATTGTAAACAGGTGAGAGGTGATGCCTCAGACCTCCACCTCTGTTGAGGGATGGTCTTTCCAGTTTGACACAGATGGCTTCTTTCACCCCTCTCTCAAACCATCTGTCCTCTCTGGCCAAAATCTGTACATTACTGTCTTCAAATGAGTGTCCTTTGTCCTTAAGATGCAGGTGGACAACTGAGCACTGCTGATGAGCTGGCCCGTCTTCAAGAAACTCAAGCAAGTCCAGTTGCTACGATTAAACTACAAGAACAGCCATGACCTGGATGACTGAGAATCTTCCCAGACAAGCCGTCATACAAATGTATACAATCCTGCCCCTCTCTACCTGCTGCCACCAGGTTTATTTATTTTCCTTACCTGCTTCTGCAAATGTTAAAATGTCTCAGCCACAAGCAAAACTCACCAAATGTTTTGCTGCTGGCTGCAAGAGTGAAAAATCCTTAGCGCTAGCATTTTACGTGGCTATTTGCATGTCCACGGGTCAACAGGTCAGAGCTCTGCGGAAACTGTAGCACCGAGAGACATTCAGAGAACGTGGAAACCTTTGGAGCCAGTTGAAGCCAGTAAACAAGGACTGACTGAGCTGCTGTGTCCTCATGGAACCTGCT